TCCCGGCGCCGCCGCGCGGCGACGTAGCCCCGCGCGTCGCCCGCCGCGCGGGCGGCGCGCGTCAACGGCAGCGCGTCGAGGTGCGGCGCCGCCCGCGCCGACGCGAGGCCCAGGTCCAGCGCGGCGACGGTCGCGCGATGGCGGCTCGCGGCGAGGGCGCCGTCGCGGAACCGCGCGCCCGCCTCCGCGACCCGCCGCGCGCCGGCGAGGCGCGCCGTCTTCGCGCGCCGCTTCGTCGTCGGCGGCGGCGGCAGGCCGAGCGCGCCGCAGGCCGCGGCGAGCTGGGCGTGCGGTGGCGGGCTGGGCGGCACGATGCGCCGCAAATTGCGGGTGAGCCAGGCGAACATGGCTGCTATGAGCCAGCGCACATGATCATAGAGGGTCAGCGGCTTCGCTGCGGCGTTCTCAGCGGCCAGGTGCGCCGCTAGGTGCCCGGAGGGCTCGATCATCGTGCAAAAACGCTGGTGTTTGAACTCGTGTTTGAAGATTTTTGTGGCAAAAGCTTCTCTTGCGCCGGGCTTGCCGCTCCTCGCGCGCCCGCACAGCCGCCTCAATCGTGGGTGTGCTCGACCATCCGCTTTTGTTCTATAGAAAGCTCAGCTCGAGCACTGTGCGAGCTTGCCGCTCCTCGCGCGCGCGCAGAGCCGCCTCAAAAAGGCAGCCACACGTCTTACTTGCACGCGACGCGCGCCGCGGCACCATGGGTAGCGCGCGCCTGCTCGACGGCCTCGTCTTCCTGCTCATGTGCTACTTCATGCTCATGAACGTCACCGTCGAGCGGAGCTACTGCCACGCGCCCATCACGCGCGAGTCGACGTGCTTCCTCTGCCAGGAGACCGTCGACTTCTGCGAGGCGAACAACCCGCTCTTCCTCGAGCGGCCGGAGTGGATGCGCCTCGCGACGTGCTTCAGCGCGTACGGCTTCCTCCCGTTCTACGCGATCATCGCGCTCGCGTGCCTGACGGACGGCTGGAAGGAGAAGCGGTTTCGCGTGCCCATCCTCCTGTTCCTGGGGGCGAAGCTGAACGCGCTCCTGTTCTACCACGCGATGGAGTTCCTCTCGCATGCGCCGCCGCAGAACCTCGTCGCCTACTTTGGCGTCGAGGGGCCCTACCTCGTCTCGATCGCGCTGGTCCTCAACAAGATCGCCGCATCGAGCAAGGCGCCCGCGAAGCGCGACTGAGAGGATCGAGGAGCCGGGGCTAATGCTAGAGCAACGAGGCGAAGACGTGCCGGGCTCCATTTGGCGAGAAGTTTGGCGAGCCACTTATACTGCGGCAACGAGACTTCAACATGTCGACTCCATCGGCGGGACTCCGGGAGTCGGGACCGGCACGGACCGGCATCCCGACGGCCTGCGCGTGCGCGGCCACCACCAACACGATGGCCGAGGCCGCCCCCGCCCTGAGCGAGTACGAGCAGCTGCGCGTGGCGAACATCTTGCGCAACGCGGCGGAGCTCAAGCGCCTCGGCCTCGACGTCGCGGCGCACACCATGGCGGCCCTGGGCAAGCAGGCGCCGACGGCGCGCACGCAGAAGCGCGCCGTGCGGCCCAAGGGCGCGCCGCCGACGCGGCGGTCCCTGCGCGCGGCGAAGCTGCCCGCGCCGGAGTACAAGGAGCCCACGGGGTCGGCCGCGCGCGCGCTCGACGCCGAGGTCGACGACGAGGGCCGCGTCGCCGCGCCCGGCGGCCGGCGCAAGCGGGCGAAGACGGAGGCCTACGCGCCGCCCGCGAACCCGTCGTCCATCAAGAATTTAGACGTCGACTTGGACGGCCTGCGCGAGCGCTACCTCGGCAAGATCATCCCGCCGATGGGCGGCCAGGTGAAGCGGGCGGTCATGGAGGCGGCGTCGGCCGGCGGGCCGCCGACGTTCAGCCGCATGTCGGGCATCCAGGAGTGGCGCAACTGCGTCATGCTCTTCGTCAACGTCTACGGCGAGGGCTACAAGAACTCCTTCGTCGGCGGCGGCACGGAGATCACGTGGTTCGCGCAGCCCCGGCAATGGGAGGGCACGCCCGTGGTCCAGCGCTTGATCAACTGCGACGGCGGCGTCGTCGAGGACGACGAGACCGGCGAGACGTCGACCTTCGAGGAGACGCCCGTGCTCCTCTTCTGCCGCGACGAGGGCCAGGGCTACGTCTACTGCGGCGAGCTGAGCTACCTCGGCCACGACCCGGACCGCATCCCCATCCGCTTCGTCTGGAAGCTCGACGACTACGACCTCATCAAGGGCACGGCCGAGTTCAAGTCCCTCGTGGACAACTGCCACAACCTCCTCCAGTCGCCCGTGTGAGGGCGCTACGTCACGTAGTAGTAAGCCCGAGGTCCTCGTAGAGCGCGGCCATGACGGACCGGCACCTCGCGCGGTGCGCGTCCGCGTCCGGCCGGCCGTCGAAGATGACGCCCACGGCGAGGCCGACCGCCGGGTCGCCGAAGCCGAACGAGCTCCGCGAGCCGCCGTGGCCGAAGCTCGCCGGCGACGCGTAGGGGCCGCCGAAGTTGGGCCGCGCGTACATGGCTCGACCGACGTCGAGCTCGAGGCCCTGGACCTGTGTGGAATTCAATGTGCGCATATGCGACAGTTTCGACGCAAGCTCTTCGGCTGTGCCTCGAGCACTCGACGAGAGCAATCGATTCGTCCAAAAATCAGCCGAATCGACTTCGATTTGACCGAGCTAGAGAATTCTCAAGTTTGGTCGGGACCACCCAAGCCAGTGGTTGAATTCCACACAGCCCTGGACGACGTCGAAGGTCGACGGGTGGACCGCCTCCCCCATGCGCCGCGCCGTCGCGGCCTCGAGCAGCCGCCCGGGCACGTCGCCGTCGGTCGCGTCCAGGAGCAGCCGGCGGTAGAGCGCCGCGAGGCCCCGCGCGGGGCCGCGGCCCGCGCCCGCGGGGTCCTCGGACAGGAGGGCCCGGAGGCTCCGGGAGCCGTCGTCGACGGCGGAACCGCCCGAGAGCTCGAAGGTCCCCGCGAAGGCGCCGCCGCCCGCGGCGGGCATTTCGCCGCAGCCGGCCATCTCGAAGGGCACGCCGCAGAAGCAGCCGGTAGCGCCGACCGGCTCGAAGACCTCGCGCCGGAGGAGCTCGCCGTAGGAGCGGCCGCCGGGCCACGCGCGGCGGACGGCCTCGGCGACGCAGTGGAACGCGCCGCCCATCTGGTAGCCGTTCTTCGCGCCGATCGGCGCCCACTCCGGCGCGGCTTTGCAGGTCGCGGCGACGACGACGTCCCAGGGCTCGCCGCGGTGGCTCTCGGCGGCGCCGGCGCAGACGAGGCCCGCGGCGTGCGTGAGCACGTCCTCGATGGTGATGGCCGCCTTGCCGCCGGCGGCGAACTCGGGCACGTACCGCGACACGGGGTCGCGGAGGGACCGCAGGTGGCCGCGGTCGACGGCGAGGCCGGCGAGCACCGCGAGGCACGGCTTCACGCTCGACCACCAGGGCAGGATCGCGTCGGACGTCATCGGTCCGCCGTCGGGGCCCCGGCGGCCGACGGCGAGGTCGCCGACCTCGACGCCGTCTTTGAAGACGCTGACCTGCGCGCCGAAGTGGAGGCCGGCCGCGATGCCTTCCTCGACGGCGCGCCGCGTCCGCGGCAAGTGTTCATCGCTGCCCACCATGTCGTCGGAGGCCACCGCCGAATCGACGCCGCAGGAGAGCGCGTCGAGGGCAGCCATCGTGCATGCTATGCAATTGAACGTCACCTTAAACCAACTTGAAGCAAATTGAACCATTCGAATTGCAGCCCCGCACGAGCCGTCGCCATCGATCCTCATCATACCGCTCCCCTTTTGAACCGCCGTCGCCGCCGGCTGCCGGCATGACGAAACCGTCCCCGGAGCACCTGGACATGGGCGAGCACCTCACCGTCGACGCCGCCATCCTCCGCCTGCGGCGCATGGGCGAGGCCGAGGCGGCCTACGCCCCCGGTGGCCCGTCGCCGGCGGCGTCGTGTAGCGGGTGCGGCGGCCCGTCGACGCGGGCGAAGATCACGCACTGGTTCTGCCAGATGGGCGAGAGCTTCGACCTCGCGGGCCACACGGTGGGCCTCGCGGCCAACTTCCTCGACCGGTGCACCGCGCGGCGGGACTGCGGCGCCGCGCAGTACCAGCTGATCGCGGTGACCGCGCTCCTCCTCGCCGCCAAGGTCGAGGAGCGCAAGCCCATCACGCTCAACGACCTCGTGGTGCTTTCCAGCGGCCTCTTCGAGCGCGACGACATCCGCCTCATGGAATTGGAGCTGCTCCGCGCGCTCGAGTGGCGCCTGAACGCGCCGACGGTGCACGCGTTCGTCGACCTGCTCCTGCGCCTCGTCGACGACGGCCGCGAGGCCCCGGGCCGCCTCGCGGACCGCGTGCGGGCCGAGGCCAAGGCCTTCGTGGACCTGTCCGTCGTCCACGACGAGCTCCGCGGCTTCGCCGCGGCGACGTTGGCCGTCGCGTCCGTCATGTGCGGCTTCCGCCAGGCGGGCTGCCCCGTCGAGGACGTCGAGCTCTGGACGACGCGCGTCAAGGCCTGCGGCTTCGCCTACGGCGCCGCGGACCTGCTCGAGTGCGGCGTGTGCCTCCTGGGCCTCGGCGGCCGCGCCGCGGCCGCGGCGGCGCGGTCCGCGACCGCGGCGCCGGCGCCGGCGCCGGCGCGCCGCGACGACGACCTCGACCTCGCCGACGCGAACATCTCCGACGGCGAGGCGTCCTTCACGGACGACGATGACGACGACGACCGCGACGACGACGACTCCGCGGACGAGGAGATCCGCATGTGCATCCGCGACGACGACGGCGCCGCGCCCATGGACGAGGACGACGACAAGCACGGCTGCGCCTCCTCGCCGCACACGGTCGCCACGGACTTCTTCACGGGCGAGTAGCCCGGCCTCGCGCCGCCGCGCTCCTCGCGCGCCCCGTCGTCCCCTCGCGCGTCCCCAAGTCCCGGACTGGGTAAGTCCTGTTGTGTCTCCTTACGGGTCGCGCCTAGGGCAGGATCAGCCCGCCGGCCGTGCGCACCTCCCCCGGCGGCGGCGGCGGCGGCGGCGGCGGCGCGCCCGCGCCCGGCGGCGGCGGCGGCGGCGCGGCGCCGACGTCGCCGAGGAGCTGCGCGCTGCCCGCGTCCTTGAGGCTGTCGTCCCAGTCGGCCTCGGCGAAGCTGACCTGCGCGACGTCCGTCACGCGCTCGACGTCGACGTCGTTGCACGCGTCCGCGTAGTCGTCCCACATGGCGCCGTCGCCCTCCGGCGCCATGCCCTCGAGCGCCGCGACGCAGGCCTCGAGCGCGAGCGACTCGCCGCCGCCGGCGACGGCCCAGAAGGCGCGCGCGGCGTCGGCGCTCACGGACGCCCGGGCGGCCTCGCTGGGAGGCGCGGCGAGCGGCGCGGCGTAGGGCAGCGCGCGCAGCGCCGCGTGGAACGCGTCGAAGCCGACGTCCGTCGCGCCGTCCGGGAAGAGCGCGCCGACCCACGCGGGCACGTGGTCACCGCGCTTCGCGTAGGCCGGGATCCACTTGCCGGCCTTGGCCGTCTGCGTCCTGCCGTCCTCGGAGACGCAGGTCGTCTCGGCGAGGCGCGCGAAGACGGAGACGAGGTCCGGCGTCTTGTAGGCGCGCAGCGATGACGCGCGACGCGTCGTCACAGCTGGCGCGACGAGCGCGTCGCAAACGACGAGCGCTGCGAATGCTCGGACGTACATCATGCCGGCAGAGCTCAACGAGGTTCACTGATGCTTCGGTCTGGGTGCTTGATCTTATCAAGGACGATGGGCTGCGCATAAGCCGCGGGAGAGCCTGCGCATCACGCGGCGACAATGCCCGCGGGCTACCTCTTGGTCAGCGCCTTCCACAAGCAGGCCTTCGCGTCGGCGACGCAGCACCAGCTGCTGGCCTTCCTCCAGGTCGCGGCGTTCACGAACCGCACGGCGGTGCTGCCCTTCGCCCGCTTCGGCGAGCCGGCCTTCGTCGGCCTGCCCGAGGCGGGGTTCCACGACCTCGAGCGCTACTTCGACGTCGCGGACCTGGCGAAACGCTGGCCCTGCCTGCGGGTCCTAAATTACCGCGAGTTCCGCGCGGAGCACGGAAAACCGCCCGTCGCGCTGCAGCTGGGGACGCCGCGGACCGCGGTCGGCGACGTCGTGCCGTCGGGCTGCGGCAAGCGGTCGCGGCCGCTCGTGGCCCTCAAGGCGACCTTCGCCTGCGCGTCGCTGACGCTGCTCGCGTCCGCGCGGCGCGCGCTCGGCGGCGACCGGTGGCGAACCGACGCCGTCGTCGTCACCAACTGGTCGCAGAAGGTCGTGGGCCTCGGCGACGCGTCGTCGCCCCTCTTCGGCGACGCCTTCGCGGCCCGCGGCGGCTGCCACGACGCGGCCGCCGCGCGCGACGCGCGCGCGTGGCCGCGGCTCGCGGATCGCTGGGAGCAGGGCAGCAAAAGGGTGCGAAATTCCCAACTTCAAAGGCTTCGATCTCGGCCGCTTTCCACTCGTTTCGGCTGATCTTTGGACGAGCGATCATCTCTCGGAACGGTCTCGAAGCGTGGGTGCTGTTTCCGGAACGCGCGCGCGCGGAACACTCACGTTGAAGCGACGTTGAATCACCCTTTGCTGCCCAGGCTGGGAGCGCGCCGCGGACGCGTTCCTCCGGTCCGGCGCGCTGCCGGCGGCCTACGCCTGCGCCCACGTTCGCGCGGAGAAGCTCGCGAGCGCGGCGACGGGGCGGGAGAAGCGGTCCCAGTGGGCCGCGACGGGCGACGAGGCCGAGCCCTTCGCGTCGCCCTACATGGAGGCGTGCGTCGCGGGCGCCGCGGCGCTCGCGTCACGGGGCGGCGGCGGGCTGCTGCTCCTCACGGACACGTCGGCGGCCCACGGCACGCCGTCGAACCAGGGGTCCGAGCACTTCCGCGAGTGGCGGTCCCGGGGCGAGCGGCTCCTCCGGGCCGCGCTGCCGCGGTCCGCGGGCTACTGCGGCGCACCGGGCGCGGTGCCCGGGCCCGACTGCGCCGCCGTCGAGGCGGCCCTCTGCCGGCGGGCGACCCACGTCTGGCGCTTCGGGTCGGGCACCTTCTCCGCGTTCCTCGTCGGCGACGCGGCGGACGCGCCGCCGTCGACGCGGTTCCTCTCGTGCCCGGACATCGCGGCCGCCGCGGGTCAGCTGGAATAACATATCCCGCCGGCGGGATATGTTAAACGCCGCTTCAACTTGGGCTCCAACCGCCTGAAAATCGTTAGGCGAGGTAGGGCGCGCGGTCGACGACGGCGAGGTTCGCGAGCTTGATGGCCTTCTCGCCCATGGCCGCGTCCTCGAACTGGACGCGCGCGCGCGGCGGCGCGCCCGCGTCGACCTTCGCGGGCGCGACGACGACGCCCTTCTTGCCGTTGAACTTCTCCGCGCTGAGCGCGTGGGTCTCGACGGCCGCGCGCGCCGGGTGGCTGTTCTCGAAGGCCGCGGCCTTGGCCAATAGAGCGGCGACGGCCGCGGACCAGCGCGCGAGCTCCGTCGCCAAGACGTCGTTGTGGCCCGCGGCGGCGAAGCGCTCGTGGACCTTGTCGGGCGCGCCGAGGGCGTTGAAGCAGCTGAGGCCCTGGGACGCGGGGACGATGTCGTCGCGGTCGCCGTGGAGCACGAGCGACGGGCAGCCGACGGTCTGCGCCTTCCGGAGCGTCGTAGATCCAAAAGGGGCGGCCGTCGGGTCCTTGAGGCCACCGAGCATCTCGCCGGCGCCCATGGTCGCCGCGAGCTGCTTCACCATGGGCAGCGACGCGATGGACATGAGCCCGGAGTCGACGACGAGGCCGTGGATGGACGCCGCGCGCGACGCCGCTAGGTGCACGGCGGACAGCGCGCCGATGGACCGGCCCCAGGCGACGACCTTGCAGCCCTCGGCGATGCCCGGCACGCCGCCTTTGACGAGGAAGTCGAGGACCGCGTCCGCGTCGCCGCAGAGGTGCGTCACGCCGGGCGACCCCGTCGACCAGCCGTAGCCCCGGTAGTCGACGGACACGAGCGCGAAGCCCGCGGCGTGGAACACGGGCGCGATGTCGTCGGCCTCGCCGCAGACCTCGGCGTTGCCGTGGAAGTGGAGCGCGACCCTGTCGCAGCCCTCGCGCGGCACGTACGCGCGGAATCCGACCGCGACGCCCGGCGCGACGTCGACGGCGCCGTCGCGCTTCGGGCCCGACGTCGCGCCGGGGAACTCGGCCGACGCCTGGCGGCTCGGGAAGATGACCTGCTGCACCATGGGCATGTCCCAGATGTTGCCGTTCATGAGGCCCTGCATCATGTCGGCGAGCGGGTTGTGCTCAAAGTCCGCCATGGCGTCGCCGTCGTCGCGCGGCGACAGCGACGGGTGCGGGAAGAGGCAGTTGAGGGCCTTCGCGATGCCGTTCGAGATGCCGTCGAGCATGCACGGCTCGGTGGCAGCGGACGACGCCAGTGGCGGATTTGTGGCGAAGCGCGGCTCGACGACGCCTCCTCGACGCGCGCCAATCGAGGCCACCGCCGCCGCTGCCGCCCCCGCCGCGCCGCCGCCGCCAGCACCCGGTCCCCGGCCCCGCCGCTCCCGCCGCCGCCCGCGCCCCGCTCCCGCCGCCGCGCCGCCGACGCGATGGCCCTCCGCGCCCTGAAACAGACCCAGTCGAAGGTCGGGACGAGCTCGACGCGCATGCTCTTCCGCGACATCTGCCGCCAGGTGCCGACGGTGCTCACGATCTACGACGTGGACATGACGGTCACGGAGGCCCGCGGCGTCGTCAAGGCGGCCTTCGCGAAGAACGCGGGCGTCACCGACGCCCGCACGATCGCGATCCTCAACCACAAGGGCCGCACGGAGCTCCAGGAGGCGACGCTCCAGTACAAAACGAAGGCCCAGCTCATGGCCTTCCTCGAGAGGATAACGAAGACGGACAAGCAGCTCGCTCAGGAGGCCGACGAGGACGCGGACTTCTTCAAGATGTAGGCGGCGCTACGCGCGCGCGTACTTAGTAACCGCGCCTCGAGCTTCGCCTGCTCCACCGCGCCTCGAGCTTCGCCTGCGCCGTCGCTTTCGAGCGGCAGCGCCTTAGGAGGCGACCCAAACCACGTGCCAGAACCCTTCCGCGGACCCGAAACGGATCGCCGCCGGGATCCCGGTGGCGCCGGCCCTGGTCAGTAGTGGGTGCCGCACGGTTCGGAAGTTGAAGCGCCGTTTAACTATCGTTTGTTTAACACATCCCGCGGGACCCGTAGGGCCGGCGGACGCTCCCTCGACGAAGGCCGCTCGCGTCGTTATCGACTCGCCGCCTTCGCGGCGCGGAGCGGCGCGGTCGGCGTCCAGGAGAGGTTGTCCGCGAAGGGGCTCTCGTCCTCGAGGCGGCGCCAGGCGAGTCGCGCGAGGTCGTGGGACTTGAAGCGGAGCCGCGCGCGGTCCGGCGGGTCCAGCGGGTCCGTGCGCCAGAGCCGGAGCTGGAGGTCCGGCGCGAGGCACTCGCCGAGGTCGTCGAGCAGCTCGCGCTCCGAGACGTTCGGCGGGAGCCGGTGGATGTAGATGGACCGCACGTCGCTCGCCGGCCGCGTGCGGCACGCGCGCTTCCGCACGACGACGCCGAAGACGCGCAGCGCCTGGTCCAGCGCCGCGTCCGCGCCGCTTTGAGCGTCGAACGTCACCAAAGCGCACGTCGGGCTCCGGTGCGCCACGGACAGCCGCAGGCGGTAGGGCGCGCGCTCGCCCGGCTTCTTCTTCCGCCGCCGCGCGCCGTCGCCCAAGTCCGCGTCCTCCGGCGCCGCGCCGAAGAGCTCGACGCGCGCGACGGTCCCCGCGCGCGCGAGCATGCCCGCGAGCTCGCGCTCCGACGCGTCCGGCGGCAGGTTGTCCAGGAACACGGTCCGCCGCAGCGCGAGCCGCGCGTCCGGGTCGTCGGGCGCGAGGCGGCGCCCGCGCGCCTCGGCGACGGCGAGCTGGACGATGGACCCGGGCATGTCCGCGGCGCGCCGGTTCTTCCGCCCGACCCAGCTCGCGTCGTCGTCGTCGTCGCGCGCCGGCGCCGCGGGCGCCTCGTCGCCGGGGGCAAAGTCGAAGTCGAAGGCGCCGCCCGCGGACCGCGCGAGCGACCGCAACCCCCGGCGCCGCGCGTCGGCCTGGAGGAAGTGGGGCCTCAGCTTGACCAGCGCGTCGACGCCCGCGTTTTCGAGCGACGCCCAGTCCGCGGCCGCGGCCTGGAGCGCGGCCTCCGCCGCCGCGAGGTCGTCGACGCGCTCCGCCGCGGCCTCGGCGTCGATCGGCGGCGGCCGCTTGCGCCAGAGCTCGAGGAGGAGCTCGCCCGCGCCGAGCGCCGCGTGGACGCCGAGCGCGGCGACGCACTGGGCCGCGCCGCCGCGCTCCCGCGCGAGCGCGGCCTCGAGCTTCTGGCGCGCGATGGGCGGGCACGTCGCCGCGGCGAGCGCCGCGACCTGCTCCGCGTCCGCGACGGCCTCGAGGACGGCCGCGACGCCGCAGCCGAGCTCGCCGGCCGCGCGCTCCACGGCGGCCTCCGCGGCCGCGGGCGGGCCCGCGGCGGCCGCGACGGCGGCCGCGGCGGACCCGCCGCCGACGGCCCCGACGACGGGCGCGAGCGCCGCGCGCGCGGCCGCCTTGGGAAACCTCGGCGGCTTCCCGCCGCCGTCGGCCGCGGCGGCGTCCCTGCGCCGCTTGCTCCGTTTTCGCCGCGCGCGCATGGGCGACGCCTCCGCCGTGCGCCGCGGCGGCAGGCACGCCGCGAAGCCCAGGGTCAGCGTCGACAGTTCCTCGGCGGCCGGCGGCCGCGGGCACCGGGGGTCGAACGCCTCGGGCGGCCGCGCCGCGTCCCCGCGGAAGCTCTCGGCCCAGGGCGCCGTCGCGACGCGCTCCAGGAGCGCGTCGTCGGCGTCGAAGCCCTCGCGGCGCAGGAAGTCGTCGAGCGCCGGGCGCACGCGGCCAAAGGCCCACGACAGCCGGTGCTCGACGGCGCCGTGCAGCGTCGACGCGCGGAAGCGGCTGCTCCGGTCCGCGAAGTCCCGCAGCGTCCGCGTCAGGGGCCGCAGCGTCCGCTGCCGCGCGAAGGACGCCATGAGGCGCATGACGCGCCGCGCCGCGAGCCGCGTGTTCACCTCGTCCTGCGTCGCCAGCAACGTTGCGCGCTGCTCGGAGGAGGCGAACCGGCGCGCCGGCGACGCCGCGGCGCGGCACCGCAGCGCGAAGCGGCCGAGCATCCTAATTGCTGCAAAAGCGCTCTAAGCCTTGCGACGGCGCCCGTGTGTTGGCATCGCCATGGCTGTGCTCAGCTGCTTCTTGCCCTTCACGGTCGGCGTGCGGCTTCGGAGGCCTCTTCGGGCCGTGCTGCGGCGCGCAATTCGGCGCGCGAGGAGGCGATGCGAATCCCTGATTCCAACTCGTCGTTACTTCTTCTTCGCCGCGTCGTAGGACGCGCCCGGATCGAGGCCGTCGCGGCCGGGCATGTCCGCGGAGTAGGAGCGCCAGTAGGGAAACGCGCCGTCGCGCGTGATGTCCCACGCGCCGTCCAGGGACTCCACGACGGACGCGGGCAGGTCGTCGCCGCCCTCGCGGCACGCGTCGAGATTCGCGTCCAGCTGCGCGAGCGTCGACGCGCCCAGCAGCACGCCGTCGTCGGCGCCGAGCGCCGAGTGGCGGAGGAGCCACTTGTAGGTCGCGGCGACCATGGACACGCCGGCCGCGTCGCAGGCACCGCGGATCGCGCCGACGGCCTCGAAGTTGGCGGCAGTATAGAACCGCGGCAGGTAGTTCGGGTTGTCCTTGAAGCGGCCCTCGGCGACGACGTCGACGGACGCGTGCGCTCCGGTGAGGAGGCCCGCGGCGAGCGGGTTGTAGGCGATGAAGGCGCAGCCGTTCGCTTTGAGTAGAGGCAGCAGCTCGTCCTCGACGGCGCGGTTCAGCGGGTTGTAGAGGCCCTGGTACACCGTCGGCTTCGCGAAGCCGTGCTTCTCGCAGAGGTCGAAGCACCGCGCGACTTCCGACGCGTGATAGTTCGACATACCGAGGGCCGTGAACGCGCCGGCGTCGCGGAGCGCCGTCGCCGCCTCCAGAGATTCCAGGAGCGCGTGCTCCGGGTCCGGCTGGTGGAGGTAGTACTCGGCGAAGTGCCGGTGGCCCATCGCCGTCTTCGACGCCGCAAGCTGCATCTCGAGGCCGGCCGTGCCGACGCCGCCCTCCTGCGACGGGTGCGCCTTCGTGCCGAGCTTCCAGTCGCCGGGCACGGCCGTCATCGCCGCCTCGACCATGGGTTCCGTCGCGCCGCCAGCATAGATGCGCGCCGTGTCGAGCTTCGTGCCGCCGGCGGCGGCAAACTTGCGGAGCATCTCCGACGCGACTGCGACGTCGACGTAGGACGACGCCTGGTTCCAGGCGAAGTTCATCGTCCCGAAGAGCACGCGCGACGACGAGATCATGCCCACCATCTCTTTGCGGCTTTTGCGGCGCGGCCTTCCGGTTTCGCGGAGCGGCTGCGCGGCCCTGCGGCTTCGCGGCGACTTGCGGCTGCGGCTTTACGGCGCGGCGGCTCGCGGTGCGGCCGATGTACGTCGACTAGTGGCTAGCCACTCCTGGAGCTGGCAGAAACAGCGAGCCTGCACGATGAACTCAAAGTGAACCCTGCTTCCCGCCCGGCGCAACTCAGAGAGAAGCATGGATGCGACGTCGCGGGCTGCCCGCGCGTGCCTGCTCCTGATCCACTGCGCGTCGGGCTACGTGGACCGGCTGCCGCTGGCGCCGGAGAACTACGGCTTCGCGACGAACCTGAGCGCGGCGACGCCCTACCGGCGCAAGGCCGCCGTCTTCGCGTCCGTCGGCGGCGGCGACCTCGTGCTCTTCTCGGGCAAGGCCAAGGACGAGCGGCTGAACCGGGGCCGCATGGCCTACGTCGGCGACGCCTGGCGCCTGTCGCTGTCGGGCCGCGGCGCGCGGTGGACGCGCGTCGACGCGGGGCTGCCCCGGGCCGAGCGGCCCGCCGCGCGCTGGAAGTCCGCGCGCCGCCGGCGCCGCACCGTCGCGCGCGCGCGAGAGAGAGAGCGAATGAGAACCGCGCCTCTCCCGCAGGCGGGCGACGGCATCGACGGCGAGCTCTGGATCTTCGGCGGCCACGTTGAGCGCGGCACGAAGTCGATCTACTTCGACGACCTCTGGGCCCTCGACGCGTCGAACGCCTGGCGGGAGGTCAAGCCGAGCCACGCGGGCGCGGCCTGGCCGCCGAAGCGGCGCGGCCACGCCGCCGCGGCCGCCGCGGGCCGCCTCGTCGTCGTCGGCGGCCGCCGCGAGCACAAGACGTGCCTCTCCGACGCGTGGGCCTTCGACGTCGCCGCGGGCGCCTGGAGCGAGGTCGCGACGCCGGCCTACGGCTGCCGCTGGGGCCACACGGCGACGACCGTGGACCGGCGCGTCGCCGTCTTCGGCGGCCGCCACAAGGAGGACGACGGCGACTACGACTACTTCGGCGGCAACCAGCACTCCGTCTGGTTCTACGACGTCGCCGGCGACGCCTGGGAGGAGGCGCCGGCCCTGACGGACGTCGGCCCGAAGGCGCGCGACCACCACGCGGCGGCCTACGTCGACGGCGGCCTCTACGTCGCGGGCGGGGCGGGAAAAGGGTGCGAACTTCCCCACTTCAAAGGCTCCTCTCTCGGTCGTGTTCCACTCGTTTCGGCTGATTTTTGGACGAGCGATCATCTCTCGGAGCGGTCTCGACGCGTCGACGCGTGTTCTGGAACACCCAAGTTGAAGCGACGTCGAATCACCCTGTTCCCGCCCAGGTCACGGGCGGCAAGACGACGGATCTCGCGGCCGAGGCCCAGGACGACCTCTGGCGCTTCGACGTCGCGACGCACACGTGGGCGGACCTCACGGCGGGACGGCAGCCGCGGAGCCGCTACCTCCACTCCGCGGCGACGTGGGCGACGGCGCCGCCGCTCGCGCCGAGCGAGCGGCCCGAGCTCGGCGCGATGGTCGTCTTCGGCGGCGAGCACATCAAGTCGCGGCGCCACGGCAAGAAGAAGTACGTCCGCTACAACGACGTCTGGGGCTACTGGCCCCTCGGCGAGTGGGTCGAGCTCATCGACGACCGCGGCTTCGCGTCCGCGCTCTACCTGAGCCCCTGGTCCCTCCGCTGGGTGCGCCTCGCGTCCGAGGCCGCCGTCGTCGCGACCTGCGTCGGCGTCGTCGCCGTCGCCATCTACTACCGCGTCTCCATCCCCGAGGCCACCTACTAAAGGGAAAGCGCGCGGGACGCACCAGAGACTGGCAGAGTGAAAATCCTTGTGCCACGAGTTGTGGACGATTGTGGACGTTTTCCAAGCGAGCGCGAGGAGCACACCGCTCTCAAAACACGCCCCCCCACATCCTCGCGCCGCGCCAAACGCCTCAACGCGTCGTCGTAAAAAAACACCATGCTCAAGCTCGCGCTCACGGCCCTCGCCGCCGCCTTCGCCCGCGGGCGCGGCGAGTGCTTCAGCGACCCCGGCGTCGCCATCTCCGCCGATGAGTGCGCGTGCCACGCGACCTGCGAGACCTGCGGCTACGCCGCCGATCCGAGCGGCCGCGCGGACTGCGTGACGTGCGCCGACGGGAGCAAGGTCCGGGAGGTCTACACCGACGGGACGGGCATCTGCGCCGGCGACGATCTCGCGGAGATCTGCGAGGACACGTGCGCGTCGGCGAACGACGGCGCGTGCGACGACGGCTTCGCGACGCGCTTCGCCGGGGAGAGCGCGTGCCCCTGCGGCTCGGACTGCGGCGACTGCGGCGCGCGGACGCCCCAGGCGTGCGCGGACGCGGCGCGCGACGCCGCCGTCGACGAGGCCGAGGACGCGGCCGACGGCGCCGTCGAGACGGTCATCGAGGAGATCTTCTGCGCGGTCTACGAGAACCCGCGGCTCTGCGAGGACGACGGCGAGTACTGGTGCTGCGACCGCAACAGCGACTTCCCCAAGTGCGGCTCCGCCTACGGCTACTGCGAGGACTCCATCTCCAACAAGGCGGCGTCCAAGATCGCCATCGGCGTCGTCGTCACCATCGTCATCATCGTCGTCGCCGTCCTCGGCGGCGTCATCGGCTGCTGCGTCTGCTGCGCGCGCAACCGCAAGGCCGCGGCGGCGAACCGCGCCGGCGGCGGCCCGCCGGCGCCCGGCTGGCTCGGCAACCCGAACGCGTCCTTACTCTACGTCGACCCGCTGGCGCCGCTGGCGGTGGAGGCGAGCTACGTCATGCACTCGCAGCACAAGTACGACGGGCCGGACGGCGAACCGACGACGCCCGCCGCCGTCGCGGGCCCGTCGGAGTCGACGACGGACATCCTCGGCGCCCAGTCCTACCCGGCGGAGTCGACGGCGGACATCCTCGGCGCCCAGTCCTAGCCCCCCCCCTCCTCCTGGAAAAGCGACACCCCCGTGTTACACCCTACAAGAACGCGTCGTGGTCCTCGTCGTCGAGGTCGTCGCCGTAGCCGAGCGGCGCGGGCGCGTCCTCCGCGGGCGGCGCGGGCGGCGCGGCGACCGGCGCGGGCGACGCGGCGGCCGGCGGCGTGGCGACCTCTTGCGCGGCGACGACCTCCGGCGCGACGGCGACGACCGGCGCGGCGACCTCCGGCGCGACGGCGACGTCGGGCGCGGCCTCCGGCTTCGCCGACGGCTCGGTCGCGAAGGCCGCCTTGGCGTCGTCGCTCGTCGCGAGGTCGAGGGCCGTCTCGCCCTTGCGCGTCTTCTTGGCGCCGTCGGCGCCCGCGGCGAGGAGCGCGGCGACGGCGGCCGCGTGGCCTTTGGCAGCCGCAAAGTGGAGCGGCGTCTTCAGCGACTTGGTGCACTCGGCGTCGAGGGGCGCGCCCGCGGCGACGAGGCGCTCCACGGCGGCGACGCAGCCGGCCTGGCTCGCGAAGTGGAGCGCCGTCATGGCGTCCTGCGCGCCGAGCGCCGCGCCCGCGCCGGCGTCCAGCAGGAGCGCCGCGGCGTCGCCGCGGCCCGCCCAGCACGCGAGGTGCAGCGGCGTGCGGCCGTGCTCGTCGCGCGCGTCGACGGCCGCCGCGAGCTTCTTGGCCTGAAGGTCCGCGAGGATCGCCGCGACGGCGCCGGCGTCGTCGCCGCGGCAGGCGGCGTGGAGCGGCGTGGACGTGCCCACGGGGCCCTTGGGGCCGGCGTCGACGCGCTGGCGCTTGCGCTGCTTGCCCATGACACCTGCGCGCGGGAGACCTTTGCGTTTCACGTCCTTCCCGTAGAACCAGAGGTCCATGCGCGGCGGCGCGCGCGCCGTGAGAGCAGAGCACAAAAAGCTCAAGCATCACTGCGCGCAGCGATGGTGCCGCCGCATTGAATGGCGTCTGATTGGGGCAGCTTCAAAGGCCGCCTTCGCTGTCGTCCTCGAACTTCAGGCGGCCATGGCGGCGCAGCTGCTCGCGCTCGCCGCGCTCCGGCTCGCGACGGCCGCGCACCTCATCCCCCTCGACGCCATCGGCTACCTCACGAGCGGCCGCGGGCCGCCCTGCGGCTCGGCGGCGCTGCCCTGCCCGCCCTGCGACGCGCCGGCGCGCGCGTCGCAGCGCGCGCGGCGCAACCTGCTGACCCTCGACCGCGCGGCGCGGGACCGCGTCTACGCGGCCATGGACGTCACCAAGGCCCTGGACCAGCGGAGCGGCGAAAAGAAGTACGGTCCCGACTTCCGGAGCTGGGACGGCATGGTCCTCAAGCACGCGGCCGCGACCTTGGACCCGCGCGGCGACCAGGGCCACGGGAGCCCGGCGTACGTCACCTTCCACCGCCTATTTCTGCTCGAGTACGAGCGGTCGCTGCTCGCCGTGGACCCGGCCGTCGGCGGGCTGCCGTATTTGGATTTAACCGACCCAAAGGCCTTCGCGCTCTTCGGCGCGGACGACCTGGGCGCGACGGTGGGCGCCGGCGGCATCGACGGCTACTTCGCCCACTGGCGCGTGGGCAACTTCTCGGACGCGCGCGCCGCGGCGCGCACGGACTTCGACTTTGGGGGCTGGGCCGGCGACGGCGACGGCGCGCTCCGGGCCGGGCGCGTCCCGCCGGCGACGCGCGCCGTCACGCGCTACGCGCGCTGCGTCGAGTACCAGGCGAACGCCGACGACGCGAAGCGCTGCCACGGCGCGGCGGACTTTGCGGACTGGTACCACTCTGCGTGGGAATCACCCCGTCCCGACCAAACTTTGCAATTCTCGAGCTCGGTCAAATCGAAGTCGTTTTGGCTGATTTTTGGACGAATCGATTGCTCTCATTGAGTTCTCGAAGCATAGCTAAGGAGTTCAGCGCAATCCGTTCAATTACGCTCATATTGAAGTCGGGTTGAAGATTTGATTTGCACACAGGTACCACTGCGTCATGACGATGCGCGACAAGGCCGCCGTGGAGTCCGGCGCGCTCGCGGGCGTGCGGCCCCAGTTCGTGACGACGGGGGCGTTGCACTTCGAGGGCCACACGTGGCTCGGGTCCGCCGACGGCGACCAGGGCTACGGCTGCGACGCGAGCGACGTCTTCGGCGAGCGCACGGTCGCCGTCGGCGACTTCTGGGACCACCGGACGTCGCCCAACGACCCGGTCTTCTATTTCTACCACGCGAACCTCGACCGGCTCCAGACGGCGTGGACCGTGTCGGGGCCGGCGAAGAACGCGACGCGCGCGACGTACTTCGACTTCCAGGCCAAAAGCGACGGCGTCCAAGGCACCGCGCTGACGGACGTCGTCGCCGCGGCGTGGCCCTACGCGTCGGACCTCATCGACGCGCCCGGGCGCGGCAACGTCACGCACGCCGACGCCCTCTGCCGCCTGGCCCCGGCCGCCGCGCCCTACGCCTACGACGCGCTGCCGGCCTACGACGGCAACGCGTGCCTCTCGGCCTCGTCGCCGCCGCCCATCAAGAGCTACCACGTGCACCCCGTCTTCGACGGCGCCGACCCCGCGGCCGTGGCCCTCGCGCTCGACCTCTGGCAGCGCTTCGCGGACTTTTCGCGCGTCGTGTTGCGCGCGTACGACGACGCGACGCCCGTCTGCGCGTTCGGCCACCAGACGCCGGGGCCCGACGGCTACGCCAAGATCTGCCCCTTCCCGGGCCACGCCGGCCCCTTCCAGCCCTGGTCCGGCGACGGTCTGTTCGGCGGCGCGCAGTACGCGTTCTTCGTTCCCCTGGTCCACGCGGTGGCCGCGGAGAACTGGTGGCGCCAGCGCGCGCGGCCGCCGGTCCACTTCCTCTTCCACGGCAACACGGGCTGCGCCGACAACGACCACGGCGAGTGGGCCGTCAAGTCGGAGCACTACCCGGTCTTCAACCAGAGCACGGCGATGCTCTACGGCTGCCACGAGGGCCCGCCGGCCTGCGAGCTGAGCCTCGTCGAGTACGAGAGCGCCCGGGGCGGCTGCCTCGCCTTCGGGAGCGGCGCGCCGGGCCTCGCGCCCTGCGCGCGCGCGCTCGACTACGGGAACGGCGCGACGATGTGGCGCGAGACGACGTCGTACGCGGCCGGCCGCGACGTCCTCGCGGCCTGGCGGGACCCGGCGGCGTGCGTCGCCGCGGCGCCGGGCGTGTCCCTCGCGGCCTGCGACTCCGCCGACGACCAGTTCGCCTGGCGCGGCGCGCGCGTTTTGGCGTGGAACGCGTCCGCGGGCGCGCTCGCGCACGGGAGCGGCCGCTGCCTCGGGGTCGTCGGCGGCGGGCTGGCGCTCGTCGCCTGCGACGACGCGCGCGGGGCGTGGACGCGGACGTTCCTTAATTAAGCCCGCCGCGAGGCGGAGGCGCGAAGCGCCGGAGATGCGGCGTCGGATCCCCCGGACGAGCCGCCTCGGTTTTCCGGTCACGTGTCGGGGGTCCTCCCGCCCCACCTCCATGTCAAACGAGACTGACCGTGGTTACGTGCGCGAAGCTTTAGCTGTGGTTATCATTAAGCCAAGGTGGACGCCCGGGGCTCGTCGTCGAGCTCCCGAGAAAAAACGCCTCACTCCCGAGAAAAAACGCCTCACCCGAGCAGGATCGCGTCGAGCTCGTCGGGCGTCGTGGGCCCGCGCTCGCGCTTCGCGCCGCCGCGGGCGACGGGGTTGCGGAGCGTGCCGATCTTGCTGAGGGCCACCTCGACGACGTCGCCGTCCTGGAGGAACGCGGGCGGGTGCATGGTGACGCCGACGCCGTCGGGCGTGCCCGTGCAGACCACCGTGCCCTCGGGGATCGTCGTGCCCTGCGTGATGAAGGCGACGATCTTGGGCACGCCGAAGATGAGGTCCGACGTCGACGTGTTCTGGCGGAGCTCGCCGTTGACCCTCGTCGTCAGCCGGAGCCCGCCGCCGTCGCCGAGGGCCGCCGCGGAGAGGAGCGACGGCCCGAGGGGCGCGTGCGTGTCGAGGGACTTGGAGAAGGACCACTGGCCGCCGTTGCCCGGGCAGCTCTCGCCGTCGTCGATCTGGTAGCACCGCGCCGACACCTGGGCAGCAAAAGGGTGATTCAACGTCGCTTCAACGTGAGTGTTCCGCGCGCGCGCGTTCCGGAAAAAGCATCCGCGCTTCGAGGCCGTTCCGAGAGATGATCGCTCGTCCAAAAGTCAGCCGAAACGAGTGGAAAACGGCCGAGATAGGAGCCTTTGAAGTTGGGAAGTTCGCTCTCTTTTGCTGCCCTGGCCGACACGTCGTCGCACGCCGTGTAGCCCAGGACGCACCGCTCGACCGCGTCGGCCTCGGCGACGTCCTTGCAGTCGGCCTTGAAGACGAAGCCGAGCTCGCCCTCGTAGTCCGGCCGCGTCGAGAACGCCGGGATCTCGACGACGTCGCCGGGGTGCGCGTAGGAGTTGGAGCCCTTGAAGAAGACCTGGGGCGTCTTCGGCGCGCTCATGTTCGTGCTGTTGATGTGCCCCCAGTAGTTCAGCCCGATGCCGAGCACGTAGGGCGGCCGCTCGACGGGCGCCAGCAGCTCGGCGACCTCGACCTTTTGGTCCAGGACCTCCCAGCCGTCGACGAGCGACGCGACGCCGCGGCCCTCGTAGGCGCCCGTGTGGATCGCGCCGTCGGCGTCCTTGAAGCGGATGATGCGGTCCGTCGTGCGGGCCGCGGCCGAAGCCGCGAGGAGCAGGGTGAGGCTGCCCATCATCATCGCGATCGCTCTGTGTTCCCTGGAGTGGTTTCCTCGCGATTTCGGGCTGTTTTTGCCCCCGGGCGGCTGTCTGCGGCTGTCTGCGGCTGTTTCGGGGTCCGGGGCGGCTGCTTTGCGCTGGGGTCGGGGTCGCGGACCTCCCCTTCGGGTCTCGGGCTACTAGTTCGCGTCTTACCGGTCGGGGAGCGGTCGGCGCGCGCGCACGCCGCGGTCGGTGCGTCGGTCGGTCCCGGTCGGTCGTCGGTGGAGAACCTCTGGCTGCTGGAGCCACACGGGTTCAACGCGCGCGTAGCGGCCGGTGGCCTTCGCGCGGTGACAGAGTCGGAGCCCGATGTCGAGGACGTGGGGCGCGGCACGACTCGGTCGGTGGCGGCGGCCGCCGCGATGCCGTCGGCGCGCGCGGGCGACGAAGCCACGGGGATCGCTTCGGCCGCCGGACCGGGGTTCCGGACCGGTGTCAAGGCCCGCGGCGTGCGCGTGGGGCCCACGCGAGAGCGGCGGCGGGGCTGCCGACCGGCGCGCAGGGGCGGCGCGCAGGGGCTGCCGGGGCGGAGGCGCGAGACTGCGACCGCGGCTGTGCTGGCCCGTCTCAGCGCGAGAATTCGCGCATTTATTGACCGTAAATCGATCATTTCGATGACTTTTCCGAAAAAATTTGCCCTGCGGGGCCGAGGGGCTGTGGGACGAGGCCACGAGTAGTACGACGTCGTGTCCGTGTAGTCGTGTTGGCGTAGGGAGTTCGGCGTCACGTGCGCGCGCCCCGCGGCGCTGGCGGGGCGCGGCCGGGGCGCACGGCTTACGGGGGCACATGCCGCCCCACGGGGCAGCCGTCGGCGGGAATAACGCCGCGAGAGCGCTCCTGCAGCTAGTTGCCGACGGGCAGCCTACTGGATCGGGGGTTCATCATTGACCGGGGGCTGTTTGTGGTCATTGTGGCTGAGCGGCGGGCTGTTTGTTGACTTTTTGGCTGTTTGTTGCACCGTTTGTGGCGTTGACCTTTTGTCGTCGCCTCGGTACCCTGGCGGAAACGGTGATTAAACAGCCGGGGTTCCGCGGGAGTTTTGGGGCCTGCATGTTGAAGGGCAAGAACACGTGCGCGATTAAAAACAAGGTTTAAAACAGCTTCCATCCCCACGTCCTCCCTCGCCGATAAAAACAACAAAACAGGCCGTTATTGGGCGACGAGGAGCGGGTTCGCGAGGTCGTCGGCGGCCTCGTCGACGGAGACGCGCGCGCGGCGGCCGCCGAAGACCGCGGCGACGGCGTCGGGCACCGTGAGGGAGACGGCGTAGAGGTACAAAATCCCCAGCAGCACCGACGCCGCGTAGGCCGGCGGCGAGTCGAAGTGGCCGACGACGAACTGGACGACGAGGACGACGTTGATGACGAGCACGAGCGCCGCGGCCGCGAAGGCCACGTACGCCAATTTCCCTCCGTTCGCGAAGTCGCCCATCCACCGCTTCTGGTTCGTCAGGTGCAGCAGCGGCAGCATGGCGAAGGGCAGCTGCACCGACTGCAGGATGTTCAGGTACTCGTTGATCCGGTTCTGCAGGCCCGCGTTCTCCGCCGTCGACAGGGCCACCGCGACCGCGGGCCCGAGCGCCGCGGCGCGCGTGATCGCGACGCGTTTCCACGGCGCGATGTCGAGCCGCAGGAAGCCGCTCATGACGAACTGGCCCGCGAACGTCGCGGTCATCGTCGACGCCTGGCCCGCGGCGAGCAAGCCGAGGCCCCACATGACCTTGCCGAAGCGGCCGAGCACCTCGCGCAGCGCCGGCGCGGCGACGGCCAGGCCGATCTCCGCGCAGACCGCGTCGTCGAAGAGGCGCGAGTGGCAGGGGCTCTCGTGGTCCGAGACCGACTCGCGGGGCACGCGCGCGAGCGAGCCCGCCGCGCACGCGCCGTCGTAGAAGAAGTCCGCGAACGTCGCGACGACGGCGACGTTGATGACGAAGCTCACGGCGAGCGCGAGCGCCGACTCGAGGCAGTTGTAGAAGACGGCCTCGCGGACCTTGGCGACCTTGCTCCGGTCGACGTCGCGCGACTTCACCAAGCCCGAGTGCAGGTAGAGGTTGTGGGGCATGACGACGGCGCCGATCGTCCCGACGGCCTGCGTGAGCATGTACGACTTCATGAGCGGCAGCGCGAGGCCCTCCGCGAGCGCGGCGCCGTCCGTGTCCGCCTCGCCCCAGTTCACGAAGAAGCACGCGGCCATCGTCGCGATGAGCGTCGCGACGAGCGCCTCGAGCTTGCGCACGCCGAGGTGGTGCACGGCCAGGAACGTGAACGTGTCGAGGCCCGTGACGAGGCACCCGACCCAGAGCTCCAAACCGCACAAGATGTTCAGCCCGATGGCGCTCCCTAACACCTCCTGGATGTCGCTGCCGATGATCGCGAGCTCCATCATCGCGTAGAGGACGTAGGACGTCGCGAGCGGATACTCGGCGCGCGCCGCCTCCGCGAGCGTCTTGCCCGTGACGACGCCGAGCCGCGCGGCCATCTCCTGGAGCAGGAGCCCGAGCGCCGTCGCCCAGAACAGGACCCAGAGCAGCGTGTAGTTCGTGTAGGCGCCCTGCTGCAGGTCCGCCTCGAGGTTGCCCGGGTCGAGGTACGCGAGCGACATCAAAAAGCCCGGGCCCGTGAACGCCCAGAGCGTGCGCCAGCGGAACCGGAAGCCCGCGCCCGAGTCGGCGGAGGAGCCCGCGCCGTCGGCGTCGTCGTCGGGGATCTCGACCTGGCCCTCGTCGAGGTCCTCGGCGGACGATCGCGCGGACGCGGAGCAGAGCGCCTACGGTGTTTCGTGAGGGCCGGTCGATACGCGCTCTCTCTCGGTCAGTTACGTCGTTCTTTTCGGTCAGTGTAACTATGACATTGTAACCTTCACGTCGAAGCGACACTTTGGGTATACGGATTTGGTATGCATCATTCCGAAGGAGTTTTTGCTTTCTTCGGCGGACGCGGGCGCGGACCGCGAGCGCGGCGCAGGCGTCGGCGAGCGGCGCCGGGAGCGTCCGCCGGCGCTGGGAGGGGCGGGGAACCTGCGGCTCCTCCTCGAGGGCGTCCATGTGGATTTCGATGGTGTTTGGTGATGCGAGCCGCAGCTCTGTAAGGACTGCGTTGTTGTCGTTTCAGGTGTTGTTCGTGTCTTCGATGAGCGTGTCGCGAAGGTGGTGGTGGGTTTTGTGGTGGGTGCTGGGGCGCGCGCGCCGCCCGCGCCGCGCTCGCCGCCTGTGGCTGCTGCCGCAAGTCTCTGAGCTCAGAGAGGCTGAGAGAGCTCGCTGATTGGCGCCTCGCGGCGCGCGCGGCGCGGGTGCGACGCGCGTCGCGCGTGCGTCAGAGCGACCCAAGGAGCGCTGCCGGCTATGCGGGGCGCTCGTGTCTGTGGACTACGCTCTTTGAACTCAAGCGCGCGCGCGGGAACATCCGCCCTTTTCGTCCAAGCGGCTTTTTTTGGGACACGCCTTGTGGAGGAGTCGTAGCTGCGAGCGCGGCTGGTCTATGAGGACCATAGGACTCTCATTTTGGTGCTTCGTTCTCTTCTGTTGCAGCGAATAAAAATTTTTTTAACCTGGACCTTGTTGTACTAAAAAACGCAGCCACCGCGCCCCGATCACCAAAACGAGCTGCCGCGCGTCGGAAAGGTGATTTCGGAGCTCTCCGTTTACAACCCGCGCGGAAAATGCCATGGCTATAAGCTCCCCAAACTCCCAGTTTCGAAATAGGCAAAAAAAAAAATTGTAACCGCGATCTCGTATTCATGTCCAGTCTTTTTGCGGGTAGATCACATCATCTCTCACTCGCGACCCCGAGCGCACAGTTCGAAGTCGTTGGTTGGAAACAATTGCTTGTGTAGCTCAGCTGGTCATTGAAGTTGACGTTGTCCTTCAACTATCGAGAGCGTGGGTCTAATAAACCCAAGGTCGTGGGTTCGATCCCCCCCACGAGTACTTTTTTTTATCTGCGTGTGTGTCGAACCTCTCTTTTTGCCCGTGGAGCCCCCGTAAAGTCCCGCAGAATCACTGCGTCCGCCGTCGCATCCGTGGTGACGCACGGCGTACACAGAGCGGCAGTCGAGCCCATCGTAGCGTGGTGGATCGTTCGTTTTCGCGCCTTCGTAGCGTTGTGGATCGTTCGTTTTCGCGCCGCACGTCAAACAGCGCGAGCGTCGGGAGCAGCTGGCCCCGCGCCGCGCAGCTGGCCCCGCACCGCGCGACCGAATCGCGGTTCGGTCCGAACGAGTGGTTCGCGACGCGCGCGACGCCGCCGACCTCCGTGGCGTCGACGATCGTGCGCCAGGCGGGCACGGCCTCGTCGAGGGAGTGCTCGACGACGGACAGCGCGTACGAGCGGCCGGCCCGCGGCGGCGTCGTCCGCCTCGCGGCGCCGCGCGGCCGCGCGCGACACGAGCGCGCCCGCGTAGTCGCAGACGCGCGTGTCGGCCTCGAGGTCCGCGGCGGCGACGAGGCCCCAGCAGCCGTGCGCCGCGAGCCACGCGACGGCGACCGGCGCGTGCACGTCGCCGCGCGGCCGCTCCCGGAAGTCGTCGTAGCCCGGCGGCGCGACGACGCGGCTCGCGTAGCGGAAGCCGCGCGGGAAGCCGGCGCCGCCGACGACGGGCACGGGCTGGCGCGCGCAGCCGCGCGTGACGTCAACGCGGATGCGTTTCGTGATGCGTTTCGCTGCTCGTTGTGCTGTTCTTGACGTCTGCGCGATGGTTTTCACGTCTCGTGCGTCGCAGAAGAAGGCGGCGGCGACGAGAGCGTCGAGTTTCGGGTTGTCGAAGGACGTCGATGACTTATTTCGGAGCCACCGGGCGCGGAAGCGCTCCCAGGAGGTCGTCATCGGCGGTGCGGGAGGGCCATGTCTGAGTTGTGCCCAAGACGGCCAGATCCGAACCCATTTCTGCTGCACGATTTATATAGGAAAAAACACCCTTCGACTTCCACGAGCGACCATATCATTCGGAGAGCACCGCTTCCCGTCAGCTCAGCGAAGTTAAGCCGGATCGAGCTTGGTTAGTACTACGGTGGGTGACCACGTTGGAATCCCGAGTGTTGCTCGTTTTTTTTTGCCTTTTCTAAGCATCCCTACTTCTCTTTTTGCTTCTCTGGACAGGTTTCTGGACGGTGTGGTGTTTTTTTTGGTGTAACCACAAACTCATTGCTCCGGCGCGCGCTCCTTGACGGGGTGCTTGCGCACCGCGGCGACGGACACGTAGGACGCCTGGACGTCCGTCAGCGTCAGCGGGTTGCACTTGACGACCTGCGCGGCGCGGCGCGGTCGCGGGAGGGAGTATGCGAGGCGGCGCGGCCGGCCGGCGGCGACGCGCGGGCGGTTCTGGGGACGCGCGAGGGCGTCGGCTCCCGCGCGGGCGAGGGGGCGTCGGTTCCGTCGCGGAAAACGCACCATGCACGTGATGTCGTCGCGGTAGTCGGACACCTCCAGGCCCCAGAGCGCCGTCGCCTCGATGATGAGGTTCTTGCACGAGTACCTGGGCGGGAAACGGGCGATTCAACGTCGCTTCAACGTGAGTGTTCCGCGCGCGATGATTCCAGAGAAAGGATCCACGCTTCGAGAGCGCTCCGAGGGATGATCGCTCGTCCAAGAATCAGCCGAAACGAGTGGAACACGGCCGAGAGAGGAGCCTTGGGAAGTTCGCGCCCGTTTCCCGCCCCGCCTCGCACTCCGCGTCGGCCTCGTCGCCCTCGAGCGCGCGCGCCACGGCGTCGACGCCGAGCACCTGCCAGATGCCGTCCGTCGCGAGCACGACGTACGCGTCGCCCTTGACGTCGCGCGTCTGGAGCGTCGGCGTCGACACGACGCCCGCGGCCTTGAGCCGCCGGTCGCCGAGGGACCGCGACATGGCGAGGCCCAGCTGCGTGCCGTCCGCGTCGAGGAACACGCGGCCGTCGACGACGTAGCCGCCCGCGGCCGTGATGCGCGCCTTCTCCACGGGCAGCGACGGGTCGTGGTCCGTCGTCAGCGAGATGCCCGACAGGTCGTCGCCGTCGGACGTCGCCACGACGCACCGCGAGTCGCCCACCGACGCCACCACGAGCGAATTCCCCCGGAGAACGGCGACGACGGCTGTCGTCCCCGAGGACACGTGGGGCGGCTTCTCCTCGGCGGCCCAGCGCGCGTCCATGGCCGCGTCGCAGGCCTCGAAGGTGTCGACGAGCGCGCGCTCCAGGTCCGACGCGAACGTCGGGTGCGCCGCGAGCCTGACGCGCGACGCTCCGGGCCGCGGAGCTCCCCCGCGCTCTACGGTTCGCGCGCCGCTCGACCAGTACTCTATGGTTCGCGCGCCGCTCGGACCAGAGGGCTTCCACATCGAAGTTCGGGCTTCCACATCGAAGTTCGGGCTTCCACATCGAAGTTCGGGCTTCCACATCGAAGTTCGGGCTTCCACATCGAAGTTCGGGCTTCCACATCGAAGTTCGGGCTTCCACATTGAAGTTCAACTTCCCACACAGCTTGCTCGCCGCTCCTTGACGAAGTTCATGCAGAACTGCGCGACGACCTCGCCGCGGGAGCCGTGGCCGTCGAAGACGGCGAAGAGCGCGCACTTGCGGTCGCCGCCGTAGGGCTGGACGACGCAGCCCCGGTCCTGGTTGACCTTGGCGCGGCCGCCGGCGACGCGCCTGTGTGCAAATCAAATCTTCAAAGTTTGGTCGGGACGTCCCAAACCAGCGGTTGACTTCCACGCAGCTCCGCGCCGGGACGGGCGCAGGCCGTGGCAGGAGAAGGTCGACGCGATCGTCGAGGGGAAGGGCTGCGTGGGGCCGACGAGTCACGCAATCAGCGTCACAAAAGCGGGACGCGGCGTCGCGCCGACAGGGCCCAGCGCGGCACGTGGATCTCGTCGGCCTGCACGAAGGTCTCCGACGCGGCGACCTCGTCCTCGCCGTCGCTGCCGGGCTCGAGGAGCGAGATGCGCCGCGCGTTCGGGCTCGGCCGGGCGCGGGACCGGCTGCTCGCGGACCGCTGCGGGGGCTGCGGCGCGACCATGGTCGTCAGGTAAAGGCTCTACGCCGTGCAACTAGCGGGAGCAACATCCGCCTGGCGGGGATCGGTATCCGCTCATCCAAACGAGCCATAGGCATTTGGAGGCCGCACGACCGGGAGACAGCTCGCGGTGGTCGAGGGCAGCCTCTCCACCATGGGCGCCCACGCGTACGAGGCGATCGACGAGCCCGCGGAGGGGCCGGCGCCGTCGCGGGGGCTCCGGAACACGACCATCGCCGTCGCCGCGTCCGCGGTCCTCGGCGCCTTCGCGCTGACGTCCACGGCCGCGGGCCAGTCCGCGGGCCGGGGCGCCGCCATGGCTCTGTACAAAGCGGGGGCGGCGCTCGAGGCGCCGTCGGCGCTCTCCGAGCTCGCGTCCTGCTCCGAGGTCGAGGCCTCCTTGAAGGAGCTGCGCACCAAGGACTGGGAGGTCGAGTTCGACTCGACCACGGCCGCGCCGACGCAGACGCGCGACTGGGACATCTTCTGGACCGACGGCGCCTACAGCGGCGGCGACAGCCCCGAGGACGCCTACGTGTGGATGACGGACCAGGACGACGCCGGCTACTTGGCGACGGTCCTCGTGAACACGCTCGGCACCGCGAACGGCATCGCCGTCACGAAGAACAGTACGTTCGTCTACTTTGGCGCCAACGTCGGCGACGACGAGGTGGACTTCGACTACAACTCGTGCATCGTCAAGGCGGCGGTCGACGGCTCCCTCGTCGAGCTCGTCGTCTGCTACGGCGACCAGAGCGTCAGCAACTCGTCGGACATCGCCGGCATCGATCTCTACGAGGCCCTGGGGAAGGTCTACTGGACCGACACGGTCCGCGGCAAGCTCTACTCCGCCGACATGCACGAGAACGACGGCACGACCTACGAGGAAGTGGCGGACTTCTCGAAGCCCGTCGACGTCGCCGTCAGCGAGCGCGGCGGCAACCTCTTCGTGTCGTGCTCCACGGCGGGCATCTACGAGATCGACACCGACGGCTCGGACAAGGTGCAGGTCGTCGACGGGAGCGGCTTTGGGGACGTCGAGTTCCGCGCCCTCGACGTCGACAGCGTCAACGGCAACCTCTATTTCACCGCCAACAACGTGATCCTCGTCGCGAGCACCGTCGCCGTCGACGCGTACTGGGCGCTCTACGAGGACCTCGACACGCCCAAGGGCGTCGCCGTCGACGGGTCCCAGAACCTCCTCTTCTGGACGGACGCCACGGGCGTCTGGCGCGGCGACACGGGCGGCGGCCCCACGTACGAGGTCGCCGGGCTCCAGAACTCGCGCTTCATCACCGTCGAGGGCTACGCGTCGCCGACGGCCGCGCCGACGCCCGTGCCGACGAGCCACCCGTCCCTCGCGCCGACGGGGAAGCCGTCCTTCGCCCCGTCGTCGGCGCCGTCCTACGTGCCCACGCCCAAGCCGACGCACCACCCCACGCCGCTGCCCACGAGCAACCCGACGCCCGTCCCGGCGCCCAAACCCACGCCCGTCCCGACGCCCACGCCCACGGACATCCCCACGCCCGAGCCGTCGCCCGCGCCCACGGGCCTCCCCTCGAGCCTCCCGTCCGCGGAGCCGAGCTTCGCGCCGTCGCCGGAGCCGAGCTTCGCGCCGACGCCGACGCCGACGGACACGCCGACGTCCTCGCCGACGACGGTGTGCTGGAAGTGGCAGCAGGACTGCGGCTACTGCGACGGATCCGCCGGCTCCGAGTGCGAGGCCGGCACCCCCGGCCCGACGACGGCGACGGGCGCCGTCCCGGCGCCGACGGGGCAGCCGAGCGAGAAGCCGATCCCCTCGCCGACGGCCGTGCCCAGCCAGGGCGGCTTCGGCGAGATCTACGAGATCAAGGGCTGGGACTTCGGCAACTGCGTCGACAGCGTCAAGATCTACAACAAGGACGGCGACATCGACACCTACGGCGCGAGCTACTCGTCGACGCCCCAGGAGACGTTCAGCATCGACGTCACGACCGAGTACATCTCGGGCTTCGCGCAGTACGCCAACTGCTACTACTACCTCGGCTCCGGGGTCTTCTTCCAGGTGCGGTCCCAGACGACCAACGAGGTCACGCAGGAGCTCGACCTCTCGGGCAGCCGCTACTCGGACTCGCTCACGCCCTCGTACTACGGGACCGTGACGTGGCCCTGCCAGATCACGGGCATCGACTTCTCCGCGGGCTACACGTCGGGCTTCACGGGCATCGCCATCGCGAACGGCGTCTACAGCAAATGCGACGTCGACGCCGTCTGCGACGACAGCCTCAAGTTCAACGAGCTCACGGCGATCGACTGGGGCGGCAGCTCGCAGAACGCGGACGACGACTACAGCTTCGCCAACGACGGCTGCAACCTCCTGTTCGCGGAGAACACGTGGAAGGCCTTCGAGCTCGAGGAGCCCCACACGGTCACGTCGTCGAGCTCGCTGAGCTTCTGCTTCACGCAGGTCAACGAGTGCGAGATCTACGCGATCGCGCCCGTCGAGACCGAGGCGGACCTCGGCTCCTACACCTACGTGACGAACTTCGTGATCTCGGGCACGCAGAGCGTGTCGGACAGCTACAGCTACTGGAACACCGACTTCGACACCTACGAGTCGGGCACGGAGTGCTTCGAGATCAGCCTCGGCGACTACTACGACGCCGGCACGGAGTTCAAGTACCTCGCGTTCATGAACGACTGCGACTCGAACGACAGCAGCGACGGCACCTGGAGCGGCGTGCGCTGGGGCACCAGCGCGACGGACGACGACGACGACTTCGGCACGCGCCGGCAACTGAAGTCCGCGTGAGGCGCCGCGCGCCGCGGCGCCGCCCGGCGCCGCCCCTAGTTTCCCCGCACCCCCTCAAAACCATCCCGCCCCCACTTCCGATCATACGCCTAAGGCGCACTCGTCTTACGCACCGGGCCGGGGCGCGACCCAAGGCGCACGCGTCTTACGCACCGGGTCGGGGCGCGACCTTGCGGAGGAAGTCCTCGAAGACGGCCGCGTCCGGGTCGCCCGCGCCGTGGGCCCCGAGGAACGCCGCGGCGCGCGCGGACGCGTCGACGGCGACGACGGCGAGCTCGCCGGCGTCCGGCGGGCCGAGGTCGCCGTCGCCGAAGGGCACGCGGCCGACGAGGCCGCCGCCGGCCGCGAGGGCCCCGTGGAGCGACACGGCCGCAAGCGCGGCGTTCTTGACGACGTCCCGCTCGGGCGAGCTCAGCGCGCCGGCGTCGTCGGCGGCCTGGGAGATGAGGACGCAGGCGTTGCGCAGGAGGCGCAGGTAGTTCGGGAACCGCGGCGCCTCGAGCCCTTGGCGGAGCTCCTGCGCCGCGGTGAGGCAGAAGAGGCCGAGCTGGTAGTGCGCGTCGTTGTAGGCCGACCGCGCGGCGTGCTCCCAGGTGCCCCGGCGGAAGCGCGCCGCCGCCGGCGGCCCGCCCAAGGGCGCCCACGTCGCCCGGAGCACGTCGATCTGCGCGAGCGCCGCGTCGACCCACGGGAAAAAGTCGGCCGCGACGGCGGCCTCGGGCACCGCGCGAAAGTTGACGCCCCAGGGCACGAGGGCGAAGCCGCGCCAGCGGCCCAGGGACCCGATGCGCGGCTCGTAGACGCCGTGGAGGTCCACGTAGACGCCGCCGGGGAAGCCGCCGAGGTTCGCGGTAATCGCATCGGCGAGCATGACCTCGTAGGCGTCCGCGGTCACGTCCGTCGACGGCCGCGGCGGCACGTCGGGCCAGCTCATGTTGCCGTAGGCGCGCTTCTGCCGCGCGAACCAGGGGTAGGGCAGGAGCTGGAGGGAGCAGTGCTCCACGTCGGGCCGCCTGTGCTCGCACGTCCGGAGGTAGCGCGACGGGTTCCAGTGGAGGTCGCTGTGGCTCAGGAGCAACGAGTGTGCCGGCAGCCCGTTGAGCACGGCGAGGCCGTGAGCCTTCATGGCGAGGCCGTCGCGGCCGAAGTCGTGCGCCGGGTAGAGCGTTTCTATCCTCCCGAGCGCGACGATGGACGCGACGGCCAGGGCGACGCCCCGCACGGCCGTCCCCGCGGGCTTCGGGCCGAGGAGCGCCAGCGTGGTGGCCAGCGCGCCGTCGACGAGGGCGAGCACGGCCGCCGCGCCCGCGCCCGCGGCGCAGCAGACGAGCGCGTGGGGCTGCATCCAGAACCGCGCGTGGACCTGGGCAGGACAAGAGTGATTCAACGTCGCTTCAACGTGAGTGTTCCGCGCGCGCGCGTTCCGGAAAAAGCATCCCCGCTTCGAGAGCGCTCCAAGAGATGATCGCTCGTCCAAAAATCAGCCGAAACGAGTGGAAAACGGCCGAGAGAGGAGCCTTTGAAGTTGGGAATTTCGCTCTCTTGTCCTGCCCTGGCGTGGACCTCGTAGGCCATGGCGTTGCCGCCGAAGATGGGCAGGTTCGACCAGACGCCGTGCCAGGCGGCGACGTAGAAGGCCCAGGCCCCGACGACGGCCGCCGCGAAGCGCCGCTCGAGCGCGAGGCCCGCGCCGGCGCCCAACGCCGCGAGCAGCAGTCCGACCCTCGACCCGCCCTGCTGCGCCGCCGTCCACTCCAGGTAGGCCCCGGCGCGCCGCCAGGCGTCGTTCGTCGAATCGCGGCCGGCGCCGAGCCGGAACGTGCCGTACTCCGCGCGCGACGCGTGGCGCCACAAACCCGCGGCGGTCGTGAGGTCGCCCCAGGACCCCGCGGTCGCCGCGAAGGACCGCCGCCGCAGCTCCAGCGCCCCAAAGGGGACGAAGGCGGCGAGGGCGACGATCGCGCACCGCGGCAACAGCCGCCGCGGGCGCTCGAGCCAGCACGCGCCCGCCATCGCGAGCGGCGCGGCCGTGAGCAAGCTGGCGTGCTGGTGCGCCGCGGCCAGACCCGCCAGCGCCGCGGCGGCGCACGCGACGGCCTCGTTTCCGTCGTCGGCGAGGCGCGCCGCGCACCAGAGCCCCAGGCCGACGAGCGCGTTGTTGAGCGCGAAGACCTCCGCGTGCGTCGCGTACTCCCAGCCTGGGCGGGAAAAGAGTGATTCAACGTCGCTTCAACGTGAGTGTTCCGCGCGCGCGCGTTACGAAAAACACATCCACGCTGCGAGGCCGTCCCGAGAGATGATCGCTCGTCCAAAGATCAGCCGAAACGAGTGGAAAACGGCCGAGATCGGAGCCTTTGAAGTTGGGAATGTCGCTCTCTTGTGCCGCCCCGCTCCCAGCAGAGCGGCGCGCAGCCGAAGCCCGCGCCGGCGACGAGCGCCGCCGTCGCCCGGTGCGCGCGCACGCGCGGGCCCATGCGCGCCGCCCAGGCGCTCGCCGCGCCGGCGACGGCGGCCGCGGCGACGGCGCCCGCGGCGGCCGAGCAGAGCGCGCCCGCGGCCGCGGCGGTCCGGTCCGGGAAGAGCCGGAACGCGGCGGCCAGCGCCGCGAGGTAGAGGCCGTAGCCGGGCGGGTGCGCGACGCCGCCGACGCAGGCCTCGCTCAGCAGCTCGCCGCTGTCGCCGCCGCCGACGGACGGGCTCGCGGTCCGCCAGTAGAGCACCAGGAAGGCTGCCCCGATGACGAGCGGCGCGCAGGCGTCGGCGGTGACGTGCTTCCGTGGCGGCGGCGGTGGCTTCGCCGCCGAAGACGTCGCCGAAGGCGGCGCCTTGGCCTTGCCCTTGCGCTGCCGCACCATCGCTGCGCGCCGACGGTGGTGGTGGTGCTGGCGCCGATGGCTCCGGCGGAGCTCCCGCAAGCGCTTGCGAGCTGGGCCAGCGAGACGCCGACCGCACGCCGAGGTTCGCGGGGCCGCACGCGCGCCCGCCTCCGCCGCCGCGCCCGCGCGCGCGCGGCACGTTCACGGAGCCATGCGGTGGCTGGCGCCGACGATGGCCGTCTGCCTCGCGCCTTCCCCGCCGCCGCGGCCGCCGCCGGGCCCGAGGCACCCGACCATGTACCTGGAGTCGTCCGCCGGGCGGCCGAAGGTCTTCCGGGGCCGGGACGGCGCCCGGTCGGCGCCCCGGGCCCGCTACGACGACGACGACGACGACGAGTCGTGCGGCGCGGCGCACCCCCCGCGACCGCGGACGGCCCGCCTCATCGTTCTCCGCGCGCAGGTACGACGTCAAGTGGCGGCGGCGGCGCATCGCGTCGCTCAAGGAGGCCCCGGAGATCCTGCTCGACGAGGTCCAGGACCTCTTCGAGCCCGACTACCTCCAGAAGCGGCTCTACGAGCAGAACCCGGAGGCCGCGTACGGCGCGGTCTTCAAGCTCGAGGGCGTCGTCGCGGACGTCGAGGTGCTGCCGACCTTCGTCGACGCCTGGACGGCCGTGGCCGCCGAGTTCTCCTACGAGGCGCCGAGCGAGCGCGACGTCGCCTACGTGCTGCGGGCCGGCATCCGGAACGAGGTCGCGATCGACGACGTCTTCCACTGGACGCGCGACTGGGGCGAGGCGCGCCAGGTCAGCGACCGGTACGCCGCCCTCGTCGCCGAGCGCTTCGACGACCTGGACATTTTGCCGCGGGACGGCGTCGAGGTCTGGCTGCGGGACCTGGAGCGCGAGAACGTGCCCTGCGCCGTCGTTTCCAAGCTTCCCGAGAAGATGCTCGAGGGCTGCCTCGACCAGCTCAACCTCACGCGCTACTTCGGCGACCGCCTCGTGTCCGCCGAGGACGAGCGGGACCGCGCGCAGCAGGCCTTCCTCCAGGCCGCGGTGTCCTTGGAGCGCCAGGCGTCGCGCGTCGTCGTGTTCACGGATAGCGTCGACGACGTCATCTCCGCGCACGAGGCGGAGATGCGCGCCGTGGGCATCATGGGCGCGTCGCCGGCCTACGAGCTGCGCGTGGCGGACCTCGTGATCCGCGACATGGAGGAGATGCGCCTCGCGAACATCCGCAAGATCTTCTCCGACGTCGAGTTCGACCCCGTGCCCGAGCTCGAGCTGCTGCTCGAGCAGAAGCCCATCTTCAGCGACGTCGACGACTACGACGACGACGACGAGTTCTACGACTAGCGCCGCATCGTCCACCTCGCTCGCACGCCCCCATGTCCACACGCCACCGCCGCGCGCCGCTGCACCATAGTTCGTTACTTCGCCCGCGATCCTTCGCGCTTCCGGGCGGGGGGGGCACACGGTTACCATCCTTCGGGGGGGGGGGGGGGGGGGGGCCCTCCGGGGGCCT